CAATCTGCACTCATGAGAATGAGCTAAACACTCGGTGATGACATGAGGAGCAAAGCCAGGGAAAGGATGTGGCAGGAAGGGACAGAGCTACAGGAAACAATCAGCACCTCCCACACTTGGTGAAGGAGTGGGGTACAGCTGTTTGGGTCCCTGAAGGGCAACACCCCCACCCAGAGCACCGGTGTGACCCCAAAAGGGCCCACACATGGAGGCAGCCCCAGCCCCAACTCTCCCTGAGGACTTTGCCCCCAAACTCAGCCCCCAGACACGACCTTGCAGAACCCCCAGGGAGGCACCAGCTGAGCCCTGGGTGCCGAGCCCAGGGCTGGTGCAGGCCAGGAGGGACATGGCCACCAACCTGGCAGCACTGCTCCCTGCCTTACCCTCTGAATCCCCAAAAATCTCCCAGTAGAACCAAACATGCCTCCCCCATCAGGCTATAACAACCCCAGCCCCCCAGGAACACCCCTGCACTGACTGGAGCTGTCACACAGGTGCTGGAAGCTGGGAACTGCTCCTGCATCCACACCAGCATGTGGTTTGTTTGTTGGGAGGCAGAGCCAGCAGCGGGAAGGGCAGGTTTCCAGCACAGCTCAGGGATTTGTGGCAGGCAGGAATCCAGCACCCCCCAGTGAGCAGCTGGGAGCTGCTGGAAAAGCATCCAGACACCTGGACTGCTCCCTGCAAACAGCACCAGGTTCAGGCTGGAGTGACAGCCAGAGCCTCTGTCTGCCCAGTGAGAGCCCTGCTGGGATTGAAATCCACGGGCAGGTTTGCACCAGGAACAGGGAAGCACATGGACAGAGCCCTGGGGAGCACAATTCCCAGCTCAGTGCCGAGGGGGCAGCCCTGGCACTGGGGCCAAGGCATCCAGCAGATCCATGTGGCATCCTGGGGTCACATCAGCTGCCAGTCTGGAGCTGTGCAGGGGCACCCTGGGATGTCACACCCCCCGTGTCCCCAGGACACGCAGCCACTCTCAGCACCGGTGCAGGCACAGCACAGGTTCAGGCTGTGTTGTTTGGGGTGCTGTTGTGTTCCCCCATCCCCCACAGCTGAGTGGGGGCTTCCAAAGTAAATCCAAGGCTCCAGTGAGCCCACCCAGCCCAGGAGCAGATGGGGCAGGAGCTCCTGCAAGGATCAGAGGTGAGTGCCAGGACTTACCAAAGCAGCTGTAGCCAGTGAGGAGGGTGTCCAGTGGTGGGAGCTGGGGTAGGGGCATGGAGCTGCTGGAGGACATGGCTTCAGATCCCATTTTCTGTGTCCTCATGCACTCGGGGGGGTTGGTTCAGGGGTGGAGAGGGAGCCCCAGGCTGGGCGAGGCCTGTTCAGATTCTCTCACGGTGCCAACTCTGGGCAGTGACTCCTTAGAACCCACAGCCTCCCCTAGGACAGCGCTGTCCCCTTTGTGCCCTCTTAGCCCCTCTAATGACCTGACACCCCCTTAAGCCACAGCCTCCCCTATTGCCCCTTTTGGCCCCTAAAGCCCCCCTCACAGCCCTACAACCTCTTTGGGCCTCCCCAGCCCCCTCCCAC